CCATATTATCAAAGAGTTAACCATATTTTGTGTCAATTGTTTTCAGAGATGTGTTTTTAAGAAAAACTTTCAATTAGTATTGAGTGAATCAATGATAAAATCACTTCAACACAGAATACATGCCATGAATTTGAAAATTGCTGACAATTTTGTAATCAAATCACTAACAGGTTGTCAAAAGTGACAAAATTTATATAAAAAAGTGAAAGGAAGTCAATGTTTTACATAAAAAACTTAGATTTTATTAAATATGAATAAATATCTTAAGAAAATTTAACACAAATAGTATTTTACAATAAGAAAACAGTTATTAAAAATAGTTATAAAAATAATGATAAGATTTATGAATCAATGGTTGCGTTCGGTGACAATGGGACCGATCTTTAAGGTGACGCCGGTTCCCAATTCATGTGTCGTATAAATATGAACCGAACTGTCCCTGAATGCCGTCCTCTTATAGGTCTTGATGTCGGCTATGAATTGTTTAACCATAGACTTGGCCGCGAGTCTCACATCCCGTTCCCTTTTCGCGCCCAACCGGTCAGCTCTCAGATCAGTTGCTTTCAATCGATTGTCTCGTTTGGCAGTCGTTTGCGTCAATTTTGGCAAACGATAACTATGACCACCAGTTGGGATCAGTTTGTGCAGATCCAGAGGTTCTATGACTACACTACACTCGTGTAGAGGTATATCCCATTGCTGTGTATTATGTCTGACATTGGAATCGCTATGACTTCGGGTGCAAATCCGATCCGACGATGAATTGGTGTCACTTTGGGAACCATTAGCACTGTTTCTGCCATCGCTGGCAATGGGTTTACGGTTCACTTGGAGTCCATACTTCTTAAACAAGAATCGCAACTGTTTTCCATGACTTTGGACAGAATTCTTGCTTTTGGACTTCGAGGTAGCCATCGATTGGACACCATTTGGAATAGTGTTATCAATGGTGTCATCATTGGTGTCATTAATGGTATCATCATTGGTGTCATCAGCAAACGTATCGATGATTTCCAAGACTTTGGAAACTAGGAAATGAATGGTAAGAGCGAGTGATTAAAATGGGACACCGATTAATGGTAAGTCTAAGACACTTACTATCAGTTGAATCCAAGTACTCCTCAATGAGATCCGTATTGAGTTCGCATTCAATTTCATTCAAACCATTGTCGTTGTCTTCATCGGTGGTAAAGTTAAGTAATTCATCGATCACTTCGTAATCTGAGAGCACTTCGTCGATGTCTTCGATGTCTTCGATGTCTTCAATGTCTTCAATGTGATCGATGTGTTGGTCAAAGTGGTGGACATAATCATCGTGTGACTGGTTGTGACCATTGATGACAACACTGGAGATGAAAGACATGATTGCATGGGAAGTGCTAATCAATGGACGCATAAAACAATGCTTTTATGCAATCATTTGATGGACACATGACTCACCACACGATACACCAAATACAGTGCACTCCCGCTATTGTGGACATAGATTTGTATCACAATTATTGCCATAATTAGTACACTGTATGTGAAAACGATATAAAATTATGATCATAATAATCACTCGTATAGTATATTCACACAATTTAATTGATTTATTACAGTAATAGTAGTAAACAATTGTGAATATTGTAATGTGTGCATGGTGTATCTAGCAAATATTTTAATGTCCTAGATACTTTAATGTTAAATATTAAAATTTAAATTACAGTTTGAAAAACTTTATTAAATTAACTCTGGGTTCAAATTTAATGTAATTTCAAAACCAATTTGTATTCAACAAAATTAGGAAACATTTTTAAATATTTAAATAAAACAATTTAACATCGATTTATAGATTACAATAAAACTTTTATATTAATTGTAATTAAAAACACAACCAAATCATTAGATATTGTAAGCAATGAGTGAACTCAGCATTTGTTGCGAAAGTTTTTCGTTCATTAAATGAGATTCATTTGATTTGCAAATAGTTTTCCAATCGTTTGCCGCAAAATCCAAACATATTTTCTGTAATGAATTCAATTCGTGATTAACAGCCGTTTCGTAAACCATACAAATGTTACTCAAATCCAGTATCGATTGCAGGCACTGAGAGCACAGGTCTCTGAGCTCCGGTTCCCCATAAGTGTTGGCCAACTCTAACAGTTGGTTACAATTCTTGAGATTCACTTCTGGTGTCATTGAATACATGTATTGAATGAACGCACGAATCGTTTCATAAGAGTATTGCCTTTCGATGCAAACCTCGGTGTCGGACACCATATGCTTGCGCATCGCTCTCCAGAAGCCATGGTTTCGGATCTTAAGAATCGTTTTGTGACAATAAATCGCTTCCTCTTTGAACGCAAACACCAAATCAAAGTCCGATTGACTGTCGAAGACCTCCAATAAGTGTCTCTGAAATATAATACCCGGAAGAATGTCTTTGTTAGCGTCGGTTAAGA